CTTGAAGCTCATTTTCGTGATTGTGGAGGGGACGAAAGATTCTCGTACGATCGACTATATCGGTTCCTATTATTCCGTCAGGGGTTATGTCTAGCTTTCGCAGAAACTGTGGCGGCGAAGAGGAGTTGGCATCAGGCGTAAGCCCCGTTAACCGTGCTCGATAAGAAGCCATCTATGACATTGTGATCCCAGAAGTTGGGATCGATATGAGTAGCATTGTTCGAACTGCCCTCGGCCTGAAGTGAAGGGCTGGTAGATGATAGGAGGCCAGGTAAAGTAATAGAATCGCCTTGTGGAACCACCTCTACGTTCACGGGGTGAGGTATGAAGCGATGACTGCAACTGAATTTGGTACTGGGGTCTAGTTTCATTTTCATCGGTAGCAACATAGCGTCCTTTCTCTCTCTTTTCTATAAAACACAAACGTTGGCAGGTCGAAGAGGCAAGTCAAGACAGACAACTTCTAATATAACTTACGACGAAACCTGCGTTGCGCTACTCGATTCTGAAGCCTACGACGCTCGACGGCATCGCTGGGAATTTGTATTTGTAGGTATGTTGATGTCTATGAAGAAATGATTCTGTAAACCGGAATTTAAAAGTTGGTTGCGAAATCAAGTGGGTACATAAGGTACCTAACTTAATGTAGGCTAGACAGGGATCCCTTTAGCTACCTAAGTACCTGGGTACCTACCTTGCAGAATCTAGAGTTCAAGTTACAGGTGCGTTTTGCGTAACAGTGGGCTGCAGAATCCATGCTACCTCTAACACTAGCTGCATACACTTAGGTACGTGAACATCTTATGGATGTACCTGCAGCCGATTATTTGATAGAAAAGAAGCAGCATCAAATTTGAATTGCAAGAGATATTGAGAGCGTATATTGACTTTCAAAACATTAGGTGCCTAGCTAACCTAGCTGTGCTATTTGTATCACTGAAAGCAATCGGAAAAGGGGGCACATATACAGACTTAACACAACCATATCTACAACTTCACAAAAGGAAGGGGTAAATAACTCCGTAATAAAACAAGTCGCATCAACTCTTAATAGAAAATGGGACACGATGCCCTCGTGCTCTCATTTGCAAGTTCAGAAATACGCCATCCTAGTACACGTCCAGACTCATTACTGTCCCTCGTCCTCTATGTGCCAGAACTTCCAACTTCTCGACTTACTACCTTACAGCATGAACATACCAACGCCTGAGATCAGCGCAGTGATCACGTAGGCAGCAAAGAAGGCCTTGCCATAATTAAAGAACGAGGGCGCCATCATGTTACCCGCAGCAGCACCTTTAGATGAACTGCTTGCAGCTGCGGTACCCTGCTGACCCGTCGGGCTAACCACAGAGCCTTCACCATTCTTACCAGCTGCTGAAATCAAAGCTGAGCAGCCTGAAGAGGTCTGGGGGCTTTGCGTCTTGCCTAATCCCCCGAAGTCGCAGGCGCTTGCCTTGTTGTCGCTGTTTATGTATAGCTGGTTGGCCACCCAAGCGAGTTGCTGCTTGGGAGAACATCCACCAAGAGCGCCGTAAGTGCCAGTCGTAGCGTTGTGGGCAATTCCTTTGCAGTAGTCCTGGTTCTCACCGCAGATATAGTCGAATACCTTCGCGTATGAATCCTGGTCATCAGAATCGATGTTGCATTGCAGGCCAGCAACCTCACACTCGCAAAGCTGAGGGTTAACCGCAGGGGGGAGAGGCGACGCAACAGCAGCCCATGTCGTACCACCAATACTAGGGCAGGCGGGGGCAGTGTTAGACGGCTTGTATGCGCTTGACTGTGTGAGAGACGGCGTGACCTTGGCCAGTTGAGACGAAAGCGAGGTGTATTCCGGGTATGGGCTAACGCTGTTGCCATCAATAGAGACCAAACCATAATGGTTTTCTGCTTCGAAATACTCATAGACGATACCTCCCGAGAAGACAGATGTCATGTTGCCATAGAGAACAGCAACCTCGGTAAAAGGCCTGTGGCCCTTCTCGACACCTTCGATACAGCCGTATTCAGCAAAGAAAGCAGGGACAGGATAGTCCTGGAAGAAGTCGACACGAGTACCATACGAAGAGGTCTCGTAGTTGCTGTTTCCACACCACGAGTAAACGTTATAGCCCCAGAAATCAATCGATGTAGAGACGCCATCTACAGGCTCACAGGCAAAGTAATGAGCCAGCTCATCTCTGCTAGGAACATCAGCCGTTGCATAGCCTACACCCAAAGAATCGCGGTAGTTCATCTGCTTGATATAGGCCTTTGTGTCTCGGACGGCGGCCTTGACGAAAGCAGCGGATGATGTCTGATTCTGCTTTTCCACGACTTCGTTGCCAGCAAAGAAGCCGATGACGTTCTTGTATTTACTTAGAGAATCGACAACAGCAGTGTACCGCTGGTAAAGACCGACATTCCATTCGGGGTTGTTACTGTCGATGGAAGTACCAGGCTCACCAAGATCGGCAATGACATAGATGCCATTGGAGGCCAGCTGCTCCATGCAATCATCGTGATCTTGGGTGGGATCGATAGCATAGACTCGGATCACATTGGTGAAGATCTTCTTCATGACAGGAATGTCGCGAGAACACTTCGAAGCGTCGGCCAACGGATCAGTATACTTGGTATTGGCAGCATTGTTAGCAGTACCGTTAGGATTGTAATCCTCCTGATAAGCAACGCCCTTGAGTAGGCTAGTCACGGACAATTAGCTTTGGGGCTCTGGGATTTGCCAAGACAACGGGTGATAAGATAGTTTGAGGTTAATAAACTTACAATTGAGTGCCGTTGTTAGAGTAGAAGAAGTGCTGGCCTACAGCCTTGATGGGTGCGATGTCATTGTAGCTCTGAGCTAATGCGCTGCCAGACAAGGCGCCAAGTCCCAAGGCGAGATATGAGACGGCCGAGGACGTCCACATCGTGGCGGCTGGTCTTCTGCGATCCTAAGCGAAAGATTCCAAGAACGACCAACCAATAGGAAATAAATTAGAACTTGGAATTCTGAAGTCAGAACTTTGCACGTCACCGCCGAGATAAACGAAGAATGAATAACGAAGGTGTATCGGTGATAATAACGAGTGAGTATTGTTGGCAATTGCGCGATGATAAAATAAAAATAAAAAGGCCAAGACAATGGAATGCGGGAGGTTTTAATTGAGAATAAGAAGAAAGCAGAAAAGCGGCGAACGTGCAGGCCAAATGAACCAAAGAAGAATCAGGTGGATGGTCAAACCAAATCAAGATCCTTCGGTCTGAACCAATGAATTTAGTTTCAAAATTTGGGGAACAAAACCTCTTTACCTTAGGTACATTGGTGTGAGAAAAGAGACGTAAGACTAGGAACAGGAATAGGAATAGGAAATTTGGCCGGAGTCAGTGAATCAGTGAACCGGCGCAAAGAATGTCCACTATTAACGAAAGGTACCTACCTACCTACCTGGTACTTACCTACGCATATACTTTAGGTAGGGTCCAATGATTGGTCAGTTAAAAGAGAACACGAAGAAGGAGGCTCTACATAGGTTAGGTAGTGTACTGGATTGCAGGTGCCATCGACTGCTTCAATTTCCTGTATCAGAAGGAAGCTGATGTGGCAGATGGTGGCTATGCAAACGTATGCGAGGCAACTAAAATTATAGTGACTCTATGAGGGGCTCGAAACGGTTAAGGATGGGGCGTGTATCTAAGAAAGGACCCCTCCAACATGATCCACAGTCACACAGGTGACGTTTATCCCGATCTAATTGGCTTGGCGATTCCGAGCTATCCGTCACTACGGGGTGGCTTATGCCAATCAATCGAACGTAAACGCGCTACGAAAAAGCTTAGCAAACTTGGCAGGCTGAAATTCCACCATATCTTTAAATGCTGGGAACCATCCGTAGATCAACAACCTACTCCGGATCCACCATGTTACGGAAGAAAATCGCTTGAAAAAAAGGAATGAAGAAATAAATAAAATAATGGACACTTTACATGCACTTTCTTCGAATAACTCACGGAACCGTACTATTCCCAAGGATTACTAAATACGCAATTCATTCACCAATCAAAATAAATTATCCCTGAATACGAGTCGACTCGAAGTACAGAAGTGGCATATATCGCAGCGATCAGTACCCCAGCTGGCAACTCACCGCAAAATTAAATCATCAAAACACAACACGATATCCATTCTTGCCGGATCCCTACTAGCTTTTCGTGTAGACTAACATTTATATCCAGCAGTTACGTGTCTACAATATGAAACTTCGTGTCTAGCCCCAAAGTTTCCAGATTATTTAAGACCCAAGTCCTCAAGATTGTTAATGAATTATCATCTGGGTATAAGCAGACCCATGAGCGGCAAAGCAGTGGCAGTGCCATGCCACTACCAAAAAAATCACTTACCGTTCCGCCACAAGTTAGCATTACGGCTGTCGGTTGACGACAACCGAACTTGAAATAACGTTACAAGTAGAATTAGTTAGTTCAAGAACACACATAAAACTGAGGTCTTGGTTAAATAGGGGGATCTAGATTCTTTCGGGAAGAAACATCTGTGGCCCGGACCCATGATGATACATCCGTTACATAAATTGACATTTCTCAAATGAAACAATAGTTCTGCGGTCTTATGTAATTATCACCCCCCTTAAGGATCAACCAACAGCAGTGTAGTTAGAAAAAGGGTAAGCGAATCAAAGAAGACAGGTCTTGTAATGAACGGCTATACACTATTAAGCAGGGTTACTTCGTATAGATCTATTAATATTGATGATATATCTCAGGCCTGAAGTGACACGTCCTCTCTGAATCCAATCTAAGGAAACTGGCAAATGAAAAAAGCAGACCAGACTCGACGTCTAGTCCCCACTTCGATCTCCAACCACTCTTGTCTGCGGTGGTACTGTTCGGAACCGAATCGTATCTATTCTCGAATAACATGGGTACAGATCTAGACATGGGAAGGTCTTAGGAATATGATGCGTGCCTGGCGGAGACAATTACACAATAGCGAGGTTTTTCAATGGACAATTATTACGACGAAACTCCACAGATGATTGAATACTACCCATATGATAAGTGATCCCTTTCCAAAGATATCCTGTTGAAGCAGCATACTGATACGCAACTGACAAGCCGGACGTATCTTACAACGTTAACTTGTCGAAGAGCTTTCCTTAGACTTGAGGGTCAAAAATGCTGCTACCTAGTACACGATCGGGCCGACGCATCGAATATCTTAGTTGCTTAGATTCCTGTTTGGTTGATATCCCAGGATAACTGAAGACGTCGGCTATCACTCGTTATGTCATGGAGCATATTCACAGATCAACCCTCCATACGGTTCGACAAGTCTTCCACATAGGCATAAACAAGTGTTTAGTCAGATTTATTTATTGGTTTAGTTAAGCCTAATATGCGTCTGCTCCCCCCTAAAGTGTACCTAGGGAGTATCGACAACGTAGTCGACATCTTCAACCTAACCACAACTCTCAAGTCTGAGTTGCGCCAGGAATCTCCTTAACCCAATTTGCCCGCCGATGTGAGAACAGCTCTACGGTTGGCTTGGCGTCGTTGTTAAAGAAGTTCGGGTCGTCTATGACACCAGCTTTGATGATTGGGTTAAAGTCGGAGATTTTCCCGATGCGCCACAGAGTTGATCCGCAGTCGCCGCAGAAGTGCGACGTTATCCCCCGGCCTGAGTCGCCAGGCGTGAAGTAAGTCTTGGGCGTCCCTGACAGAACCTTGAAGCCCGCGGCGGGCACGACGACGTTGGTGCTGAAAGCTGAGCCTGAGATTTTATGGCAGTCGAGACAGTGGCAGAGCATCTGAGTATACGTTAGAGATAACCGATAAAAATAGAACAATTCGGGAGGTCTCACCTTGTTTATAGGCTCGCCTTCGGTCGAGATGCGGATCTTGCCACAGAGACAGCCACCTTCTTGGGCCATGGTATACGTTCAGGTGTGATTTCGTTAGTGGAATATAACAAATATACGCAACTCTTCGATAATGTTGTTGTAGTAAGCGACCTTTATCCGAGGAATAATTAGTTAGGATACAAAAAGTGCCATCAAGGTATTCTGGCTTGATTTATATATAAATTTTCATTTCCTATTTTATGTTACAATTCCGCGGACATAATCCCTTCGACCTTCGGTTACAGCAACTTGATCTACAAGTTAGCATGCAGTAGGGCGTCAGCGTTGACAAATTAGCTGTAAACCTAGGATATCGAATTACTGATGGCGCCTAGCGTTTTGTATATCCCCCATACAAAATCCTTTAAACGGATAAAATACTAACCTACTAAGTAGCGGGCTATAGTTTCATTCTTCCGTCTCTTCAGGTGGAGAATCCCCGAAATAAGCTGTCTACCTCCTATGTAAGAATTTCACGCCCTGTTGTCATCAGTCGTCACCACGTCTTGGCTTCCAATACCCATTTGGAATCACGGAACTTAGTGATATACAGTAAGCTGCATCAAAGGCGCAAACTTGCAGTCCAGAATAAGTCTCAACTTTGGCAATTGCAAAATATTTAGGTAATCTATAGATACTTCATGACACTTTTTTGGCTGTTTGAAATACGCACTCTTTTCGCATCGATTGCGATCGGTCCCGAAGGCGGAAGCCCGTCGGGATCTGACCAAGTGGCGTCATCACGCTCAACAAAGTCATTATGACATCTACCTGAGTATTTTATTATATATTATTATATAAATCTTAACGCCATTGTTTAAAAATAACTTAACATACTTTCATTATTCCCGGGGCTATAGAAAGAGAGCATGCAGATGCGGGGTTAAGTAGACGCATAACCCCTTATTCTACTCCTATAGGTCTTAGATATGTAAGTCTATACAAGTCTATATAGAATAGCAAGCGAAAGGCTAGCATGTCTAAAAGTTCCTATCTAGGAGCATAAACCCCAAATCTCTAAAACACTTAAAATAAAGAGCTCCTAGTCGTATCAATTTTCTAATATCATAGATTAATAGTCATTCATGTATCAACAAAGTTACGTTATTAATTCTTGCTAGGGATACTTAGCATGAGGCCATCGCAAACCTGCCCCTTAATACGATCTTCCATAAGTACCTAAGGTACCTAACATATCTTTTCTTTCAAGGCTAGCTATTTGATGGACTCGCATTGATAGGGGCTGAGGTATATATATTTGCTTGAAAGAAGACGTTGCTCCAGTATTTATTTCATCTACGTAGCACGCAAGTAATATTGTGATAAGATATGTGCTCTTTGTATCACGCATAGTAAGCTAGACAAGGTCAGCATCTGGAATCTCTTATCATCCTGTCAGTCTTGAAACTTTTGTCTACAAATCTGCGAATCGCCGGTAGATTTGGCACATTCCTTCAAGTCCTAATCAGAAGTCTCCAAGGTCTCGCAGATGCGGTGTTTCCATGCGAATTTCCTCTGCTTAGAAAGGTTATGTGCGATGTGGTCGAACCCCCTCCAGGGTATGCTCCAGGGTATGCAATAAGTGAACGTTTCGCGAGAGCAGGTGTAGGATTTGGCTACGAAAAATATCCGTCGAGCGGTGCTATTATTTTACTAAGTGATATCTCTCCGCCGCCAAGCCCAAGCGAATCTATACCATTACCGTTACCTACCGAGGACAACAATTTATAGCAGAGTATACGAGGGAGTACAACATTGGAACAGATGAATATTTCAAGGATTATTATTTCTATGTCTTTTTTATTCATTAAGTGATGCTATATTACGTGGGTCTGTCTTTATTTTAGTTGCGACGGTCTCGAAGCTCTCACGCTTTGTGTTCTGTGGTGATGAGTATAGGATTGATAATGCTGAGGAATGATTCCTGACTTGGCGCACCGGGCTCGTCATGTTGGTAGGATCATCCCTTTTCCGCCCATTTACAATGCGACATCAAACCCCCCACCACCCTAAATATCAGGTTCTCAACTATGTTACATATTTATACATTCAAATTCGCATTCACAGTCACACACGAGAGATATTATCGCCTAAACATCCTCCAATCTGGTATCTGCCATGGAGTCGCTCCCGTTGGAGCTACTGGCGATGATATTAGTCGCAGTAAAATCATCCACTGGAATCTCGGATCTGCTCTGTTGCCTAAGAGTCTGCAAACGATGGCATGACGTAGGAATTTCGAAGTTATACCGGCATGTGGTTTTAGATTGCACAAGTATAACTCGTTTTAGAGAAACCTTCAATCTACGTGAAGCCGCCTGCGTCCGCTCGTTGACAGTGCGGGCTACCAGGCTACCTAGGGACGGCGTCTACCAGATAGATGAAGACCTGATATTGTTGACAAATGTTATAACAAAACTAGACAATCTATCGACTTTCTCGTTCTGCACTCCCCCGCCGGTGCGTTTTGATGTCTACCGCATCTGGCAAGCCCTTTTCAGCTTGATCGATGCACTCCCTCACAGCTGCGTCAATTTAGAACTTGATCTTATGGCATACCACCGGCATTTTCCAAGGACACAGCGTGTCAATTTCGTGCATATTTGCGACAGACTGCGCTGCATACTGCCTCGCATGCGTCATGTTCATCTCAAACTCCCCGTCATATGCCCTGATGTACTAAGCGATCTTTCGACAAACTCAGATAACTCGCCGACGCCCATTAAACTACCAGACTTACAAACACTCTTTATTCACTGTAAATATGCCTCGCGCATGATTATAACGTGTGGGTTGGGATCAGCGACGTCATGGATGTCGATGACCTCCATTCTGCAGAAACTTGCCGACTGCCCCGAAGCCTGCCCACCGTCTGCTAGCCTATTCGCCCTTGGTGGTACGAGATATACTCGGGGTAGTACTTTGCGTGACGCGTTTATACTCGCGGAACTTCGCTCCCGTACCAGCCAGGCTTTTCCTATTCTTGTGTTAAACTCTGGCGGGTGGCTTATGCGGATGGGTGATGGGAAAGGGTTTGTCTCTTCTTCAGGAGAACACCTCACCAAAGTAGTCGAAGAGGTTGCCTGGAAGACGCTCGTAGGTGGTGCTAGGCTACCCTCTGTCATTGCAGAGAATGAAGATGAGCCTGTCCAAGGGTTATTGCCGCCGATCTACGAGGAAAGCTACTGGAGGGCTATGAATCCAGAAAAGACGTGCCAGACCTGGGAGAATGAATCATTAACGGGAACTATAATGCTAGACGCAGAGGTCAGACAGGATCCTACAACTTATCTGGACTTAAATCACATCGTTGAGAAGACCATAGAAACAGCTTAACCTAGTCTATTGAAGACAAGATGAGAATTTTCTTCATCGCGATGACAAGTCCAAATAGTCATATACAGGTAGGTACCTAACTAGTTATACCAACACGAATTAAATTTATAGTTAGAGGGCACATTTGATAAAAGATCCACCCTACCCTATAATTATAATTCTCGAGTTAATCATTGTGTATAGTCTGCACAACGTTAAATTAAACCTTGAACCTAAGCCAGTATCTTAGCTTATTCCTGAATTAAATCACGATCTAGCTATACAGTCAAGAATGCTTCAATTATAAGCTTAGGTATATAATCAGCATGTGTTCAATAGGTTAAGTCTTCTTAATGCTTGATGCGTTCATACTGCGATAACGCCGTGCCGAATGACGGGAACCGCATACTAGGGTCTTGGCAGGCGTTCACCTTCCTGCATGTAGCCAACCAATAACGGTGACTTCTCGGGGATTCACCATCTTGAATAAACTCCGAATGTTCTCCGGCGCGTAACTAGGGATGAAGTCGTATGTTTTACCTATCCACATGCAAGTTTAAAATGCAAAAAAAAAGTAAAGGGACCGATAACAACGAGAGGGGGGACGAGTTTTATAATATTATAGTTACTTCTTTCTAGGGGCTGAAGACTTATGTTTAACACTATTAAGATCTCTAAACTGTATGGAGCTTATAACACTTGGGTATATACATGTTGATATTATATATTATATTAGCTATACCGATCCACGTGCTAGTATTGTTCCTAGCGGATGACTCCTTATATTCTCATTGATAAATTGGGTTTTAGGGAACTAACTAGGTTAGTTACTAGTAATAAAGTACTATAGTTTTTATAGGCACTGCATCTCATTATTAGGGTCATGTGATAAATTCCATAGGGTTCTATAAGCTATGATATGCGTAGGAGGTAGTTAATATTCTACCATTCGTCGAAATCACTGAGATCGTGTTTAGGATTTTGAAACACAATTCTCAATAAATCGCGAATAGCTTCCGATTAAGCCTAGCCAGGTTCCTCTAGCACATGTTATAAGACGCCACAGAGTAAGTGGCATCTAAGCTAATTCTACCATTGAATTCGTCATGATACCATTTTTGGCCTTGTACGCAGAGCGGGTGAAATTCGAGATGCGCCACCAGGTTCTCTTCCGTAATGGATCGTGAAATGGCTTGGATTGTACACACCTTATATACTTCTTATTGGCGAGCTTTAACTTCTATCGATCTTCATAGCCGCCATTTACTTTTAGATCGTTGTTAGTCAGATATCGTGAAGTTGTGAATAATTACATCTGATGTGATATTGCACGTTACACGCAGATCTACCCACTCGGCAAAAAGAGACAGGCCTATAATAGCCCGGAATATTTGTTCGGTAGTATCTAGAACAAGTAGTATGCGGGGTGATCCGCGTTTATTAAAAGTGTGGTACGCAGGCTTGACGGGGCAGGCAAGCGATGCCCAGGTATTTTATACGCTTGGAGATCGGTGTTCTATACGCTAGTATTATCAGCGACCACTCACATCACAAGTGTTATCATCCAAACGCTAGCGCTACGAGCTCCAATCTTGTCCAGCTACGATGGTATGCTCATATGATCCGGCATGCTTATCATCACATCCGAGATAGGGACTCCGCTGTCGGTCTATATGCCAAAGATACCTACCTACCTTAGGTACCTTTCATATGTTTGCCTCACCACCTCTTACCTCGTCTCGGTGATGGATGATTATATTAATAAAGAGGGACCCCGCGAGAAGTGGTAGATGGAATAATATAATCCTGAAGACATGCCGAGATCTCTTAACTGCATTGGTCCTATTTAGTACCTGTGGCACTCGATATTATACTTGATCATTATTCAAGATGGCACTATCCGTTGCCATTTGGTTGGCGTCAGGAGTTGTCATATCCTTACTTACCTTTCTTGCCTTGAACAAATCCCAGAAGGAAGTGGTTCTCAGGAGATTAGGTCTCTCAAGGCGCAATGCATCCCGCCCGAGTACGCCGTTACTCGAGAAGCAGCCGCTCTCGAAGCCGTCCTCATCAACTTTAGATCTTTATGCAACTTTGCCCCCTTCCCAAAGGGGTCAACTTAGCACTATAGCGGAAAAGATGTCCCCTGATCAAAAGGAGGCGCTAGGCAATCTTTCGTTCGACATGGACACATTCGCGCGCTCGCTACTAGGCTTTGAAGAGGACTACCGGACTGCTGATGACTCGAAGTATTGCTTCAGCGGCTTCTCTGTACGCGAGCTCAAGGCACTAGGAGACTTTCCCGACTATTCAGTTATCTCGGAGGTCCCTATGCCCCAACCATACCCAGAATTTGATATCGACCGCGCTAAACCGCGGCCATATCGGCCATTCAGGTGGGCATATCATCAAACCATGTGTGAGTACCTACTTGTAACTGGCATCATTAAGCTTGGGAAATAGGGGCTAATAATTGACAATAGCCTTGACTAAGCTCGAGACCGACTGGTGGATCGAGCTGGAATCAACGTACAAGACCCGGATTGCACAGCGCAAAGAACTCTACGCGACACACGGCAAGAGCGTGCTAAATTGGCTCCCCGGCTCAGAGCTTGCATGCAAAGAGCTGATGGAGATGGTGTTACAATTCATATGCGCACGGTATCCGCAGTACTTCATCTTGTCGCCGGACAAGTCGCAGTTGGAGAACAAGATCCTAGGCACGGTTTCTATCATCAAGGAAAAGCATCCCTTGCTCATCCTGTTAGATAACGTCCCGGAAGACTTTAACATCATGCTGCGGGATCCGGAGACTGGGTACTACCACCTCCGCGCTGGTATGACATGTTCGTCCCTGGGTTGGAATTTAGGAACCAAGATGGGGCTTAGGCTCGATGATATACACACGCCAATCCCAGATTACAAGGAGAAGATGCAGTTTAGTATGGATCGGTTAGTAGCGTCTCTTTCTAGCACGACATGTATTTCCTTGTTTTGAGTGCAATGCTAAATTTGCCTCAGTTATTTTTCCAAGATGCCCGCCAGCAAGCCTATCCAGCGCGGGTCCTGGGGTCTCGAGGTAGACCAGCCGCTCTACATGCCGCCGGGAGACCCGCACGAGAGCTACCGGGACGCCCAAGACCCGAACGTATCGCGATCGCGTATCCACCTGCGCGTAGACTGGCAGACGTTACGGCGGCTCCCGCTATCAGCCGGAGTCGTGTTTAACTTCAAAGCGCTGTTCACGCCCATAGAAGAAATGCGAGACGAACCGTACGTGCCGAGCCTTTTATTAAAAGTCCTCAAGGAGGGCAAGGAGAATCTTATGAAGTACAAGAATACCTGGCACACCGAGCACGTGGTGATTCCGACCCTGGAAGAATTCGAGAAAGAGCAGATCGAAAAAGGTATTGTCGAGAAGGATTGGGAGCCCAGGACTCTTGATGATAGCCCCTGGTTTCCCGGGTGGCAGGAGAAGTGGCATGCGCAACAAGGGTTCTAAGAGGAAAGGGGGAACTGGTTTACCGAAAATATCAAAAGATGGCACCAAAGTATTGTACACTACTTTATTGGTCGATACCTAGGTACCTAGGTTAGGTTAGTTACCTGTCATCAGATGCTCGTAGAAGAGGAACAGATAAGATCGCATAAATTGACTTTTTATTCTGTAGTTATGAATAATATTCATGTTGAAGCGAGTCCCCTCAACCACCATGCCAGTTGTATACCCAGGTAACTTACAGTTGAATATATCCAAGTATGTCTTAATACAGCGAAGTTTACGTCCAATACGATATACATTTACCAGTCCACCACTAGCAAGGTAATGTTGTTGATACACTAGAAGTTGAGTTCGTATATCACTTATGATCCGTGAATCATACGTCCTGGTTATCCGAAGTTTATATAAGGAGAGGTTGGACCTTATCGAGACACCGAGCAGCTTTTAACATTTTTTTCTTGAATTGTTGAGGCTTCACGCCATTTCCTTTCTTCTTATGTCATGTAGTACTTCGGCCCTTCGCCACCTTGGGGCACGGCCCAATTAATGTCCTGGTGAGGCGCCTTGATATCGCATGTCTTGCAGTGAATACAGCTGCGGTAAATATTAGCACAAATATTCTCAGTAAATAATGAGCAATAAACAAGGGCAGCCCGAGGCACTTACTTCTGGGCGTTAATCTGGAATCTCACGCCCAGTGGCTTCGAGTCATCTTCGACATATTCGTAGACACCAGCAGGACAGAAGCGATTCTCCAAGCCTTTATAAGTGGGCCACGTCTCCTGAGTATGAGCATCCCAGTCCTTAACTTGGAGATGGACAGGCTGGTCTTCCTCATGGTTCGTCCCTGTCCGCGAGACACTCGTTAGAATGTCAAATGAAATCTTTCCATCTGGCTTAGGGTATTCAATCTTCGGATACGAATCCGCATCCTTAGTGGCGCCGTAATCGGTATGCCTATGCTTCAGGGTCCAAGGAACGCGACCCTTGAGAACGAAAGCCTCTATGCCAGAGTATAGAACACCACCGACGGTGCCCAAGGGGGTTTGAAACGAGGGTCGCATGTTTCGAACTTCCTTCAACTCCTTCCAGACGCTAGATTTCCGGAGAGAATCTTCGTAGTGGTATAAGAAAACAGACTCCTCGCTCCCTTCTGCCAATGCGTTCCAAGCTGCATCTGCAGCTAACATGCCAGTTCTCATGGCGTTGTGGGTGCCTTTGACTTGAGGCACATTGACGAAGCCAGCAGAGTCGCCAATCAAGGCACCTCCGGGAAATGCGACCTTAGGAATTGATTGATACCCACCCTCGCTAAGAGCTCTCGCGCCATAGGAGATGCACTTTCCACCCTCTAAGACAGATCTATATAGAGGGTGCTGCTTCATCTTTTGGAATTCACCATACGGCGATAGCCAGGGATTCTTGTAATCTAAGGCAACAACAAGTCCAATACTGACCAAGTTATCCCCAAAGTGATACATCCACCCGCCGCCGTACGTATCCAGAGATAGGGGATAACCCATAGAATGGGTAATCTCGCCTTTGTGGAACTTTTCTGGTTGTATCTCCCAGACCTCCTTTACTCCTAAACCATAAGTTTGGTGTTGGCTATCCCTTCTCAGATCGAACTTCTTGATAACTTGCTTAGTTAAACTTCCGTGGCATCCTTCTGCAAATAGAGTAACTCGGGCATGGAACTCCATGCCTCTTTCGAAGCTATCTTTCGGTTTTCCATCACGCCCTATGCCCAGGTCATTTGTCGCAACACCAAGAACCGAGCCATCGGGCTTGTAAAGTACCTCGGATGCAGCGAACCCGGGGTAAACCTCGACGCCAATTTCCTCTGCCCTGTCTCCGAGCCACTTTGTAAATTGATTTAAACTGACGATGTAATTACCGTGGTTGTGCATCTGCGGCGGGGCTGGTAAAGGGATTGCGCTGGTCTTAGTTAAGAATCTCATCTTGTCTCCTGTCGCGGGCGTCGCATGTTCAAATCGACTTTCATTCGCCTCATCGAGCCAGTCGGGAAATAAATCCTTAACCGCAACCGGGTTTATTACAGCTCCGGACAAGATGTGCGCACCAATTTCACCAGCCTTTTCTAGCAATAATACCCTGAAGTCTTCATTTCCATTCTCATTAGCGAGTTGCTTTAGACGTATCGCAGCACTCAACCCAGCAGGACCTCCACCAACAATACAGACATCAACCTCGTCACTCTCCCGCTCGATGGCTTTAGGGTCGAAGTCATCCTCGGCGCTTGCGAGATATCTCGGACGAGTAGTGCTAAATGCGCGAGGGGTCGATCGAGCAATGGGGGGATATGTCGCAGCAGTATATCGTAATTGGGGTGTAGTTATAGAGGAATGTAAGGCCCTGGGCACTCTCCTGGGAGCTTTCGACCGAATTGACGCGGCGCCCCGCCGTGTAAGAACGTGGAGCGGCAACGAAGCAGACATGGTAAAACTTCTTTGTTGCAACATCTCTCCGTCCCTGTCAGTCGGTTTCGTTTAGAAGATAAACGGGCCTTCTCGTCGTCAGGGAAAGGTTTTTACTTGCTACCGAGTTCGTGACGCCATTAGGCCGTCAGGGTATAGATGTTAATACTACGGACTTATTAATAGTTCGACTTGAAGGTTGAATCCTCTCTAAGTATTCTGACCTACATGTATGTAGAAATATAGAAAGTAACAATGGCTATGATGACATCAAAGCCACATGTATAAAGTTTACAGTTTCTATTAAAACCATACAGCTTTGCGGAGGTCGACCGAGCTACCGAGGTTTGCGCTGGTCATTCATTGGACAAGATGATTAAAGATGCGCAAAACTTTTGATGAAGCCCGGTATAAGCCGCTCTAGGCCGCGTTCGGAGAGTCATGTAAGCCAATCATCTGCTCGTGATTAGGTATTTCGTCTATCTTGTGGCAGGAGTGGCTTGAAAGCCATGCGGGGGCTTGCAGCTAGAGGTATTGTACCTATTGTATTGTATTGTACAATACATTAAAGACACCTTCTACTGCTCGGAATAACTAGGCACCTACCTCCTAAACTCATACATATTTCCACTCGTCCACAACTCCCGAGGTCAAATACATACCTAGCATCTTATGGTTATAAACTTGAGGAATCATCGTATGTTTACATGCTTCGCATGCTATTCGCAATAAATAAATTCCGGTGGCGTTGCAAATATTCGAGAACGCGAGCGCGTATAGTTGCCATTCACTTAAGTACCTTGTCATCATAAAACAAGGCGTTAATACATCCTCGCGAAAGATCCCCATGATCGTTCTCGAGGCTCGGGAATCTTACCGGTTTGGTCGTTCCAGCACCATGTCAAGCCGACTATTTTCACATCGTGATTTACCTTGGCATGATCTTTATGCGAAGCTATTCTCGTATGAGAAGGGTTAAATGAAGATCTACGTTTACACATATGGACTGCCGGATCCTAGTGATCGGCAGTAATATTAGGCCATGATATTAGACCATGTCGATACTATTATGTATCAACACCAAGCACTTTTATGCGGCAACGAGGTTAACTCGTTATTCTCAAAAGCATCATTAATGAGAACAGAACAGGTTGTAAGCGCCTAAGCTACACCGAAGCTGTTCAAGCTTCTAATACGTTTCGCATATGTCCGCACTTTGAGGTTTGAAAGACACAGCCACTGTTCTTTCTAGGTTCTGAGGCTCTGAAATCTGAACCACGACCTAATTGCCGTTCTGGGTCGTTCCTGGACTAGTAATTCTTTCGAGAAACTCCTGGCTGCAACCGGAAGTCTTATTTCCTTAGATGATGAGCTGTCAACCCTGCATGATGATTGGGACATTGGACATTTACAAACATACGAAATGCATACCTATACCGACTGACTATCAGAAATCAAGAATCCATGTGCACTTCCTAGCAGCCCTAGTCAATACCCCTGGCGTGTGCCTGTCTGAGGCTCGTTTGATCTGCCCGGTGCGACGTTTGGGCGCTGCTGGTGCAGAGAAAAGTCGATAACCTCAAAGCAGCCAAAATATCCCCACGCATTCTTGGCATCTCAAGTTTCAACTCCAATGATTCCCAAGGATCTCCTAATTGATCTCCCCAGTGCCGCTCCAAATCTGGAGACCCAGATCTGCAACTTTTTCAACATCGCTCGTATGATCTACAATAGGGACTCAAAAGGTCATCTTATTCTACTTCGCCCCATGTTTTGAGTGGGATGGATTGTCTTCTTGACGTTTGGCCTCGGTGGGTCTACAATCCCGTCAACCCAATCGGAGCTTCGTTTACATGCCTTGTTCCCTGTGTTTCCTAAGAGCTTTTTGATATTGATAATATAACGTGTTAACGTAGTTACATAGAGATAACTATTAGGTTATGTCATGTCTACAAGCATCATTTGTGACTATGGGGTTAGTTACCAGTTGGTTAGAATGTAACCGTCTATCACAGACCTTGCTATGCCACGTTAATCAGGGATAGGATAGTTAAGCTCATCCAAGCCTCGACGGACTCCAATTGTCCATAAAATGCTCGCCTCCCCGTGCTGTTCAGTCCGGTCGTATTTTTGTTTCTTCACACATCCACATCAGCCCCAACCGACAACCTTTCCTTTCTAGGTCGATTCTTGTTCTTAAGAGGTGAGTTAAGTTGAATATCCAACATGGCCAAGTCTAAGCTAACTGTATGAAGCTGTGCTCATACCTTCTTTACGCTGTATTATTTCGTCACTCGACAACTTTATTTCAACCTTCTCTATTTTCTGTAAAGTGTCTGGATATACACTCTTTTCAACATGAAGAACTTCGGTGCTATTTTAATGGCCTTGGCCACAGCCGCCTCTTTCGTTGCTGCCTTACCAACTGAGCAACCCCAGGGAGCTCTCCAAGCCCGCGCCCCTAGGGAATTCGGTATGTAGCGTTCTAGTCATCTTGGCAACAACAATGCTAATATATACGTACGCAGCTCTGGATGTCAGATTCCCCAAGAAGAAGCATAACGGTGCTGCTAAGAATGGAACTGCTGCCGCCGTCGAGGCTGGCGCCGTCAACAATGGAACTGGCAATGCCGCAGACGATGCCAACCAAGGCAAGAAGGGCAAGGGCAAGGGTAACGACAACGCCCAAGGTGCACAGGACGGCGCTGCTGCGGATGCCGCTGCAGGTGCAGACGCTAGCGCAGGCCAGCAAAGCGGTAACCAGCTCACCGACTTGCTCGGAAGCCTTCTCGGCGCCGCCAGTGGTGGTGCTGCTAGTGCGAACCCTCTCGCAGGTCTCCTTGGTGGTGACGCTGCCGCCGGTGGTGCTGCTTCCGGCCAGAACGGTCTAGATAGTCTTTTACAAGGTCTCTTAGGAAAGCTAGGAGCTAAATAAGAGCTTTCCTACTCTTAGAATGAGGGTATCTTGTAAATATAGGCTATAGATGGGGTTATCAGGGCTTTCCGGGATTGTTACGGCTAATGACGGATACAACGGTCGAGGATCTTCTAGCAAGTCTAGACATGTCGATCAGGTGTACTATTATCACCACAGGAATCTGACGTTTTGTGTCAGGGGTTGATTTGGGGTTTTTCGAACTGTGCCTTTTGAAAGAAGTTAGCAACAAGAACACCAATAGAAAGTTGTGGATGTGGGAAACAATTCTCGTCGGGCTTGGGAGCCTGTTCCAGTATCATTTGTGAATGTGTTCTGCTGCTAGTTATTGTTTTGTTCGAGTTGAGAGCAAGCGCCTAGTTCCTTGGTAGGTTATCTTTCTAGGAAGTATGAGGTCTCGACACTCAGCTTTTAAGTAAACGCATTTCGTTATTAGATTCTCATCTTCCTATCTTCGTGTACATCATAATACAACAATATATCTTATTTCTACCGTCATCACACTCATGTCATCACACGCTTCAACTTCTCACCAAGACTTTTCTTTAACCGCCCTTTTAGGCTCTCGAGCTCCTTGTACATCATACACCCAGTTAGGAACCCAATCATCATAACCGTCATGCAGCCGCTAATATGCAAAAATATTACACCAGAGCCATCAGTTAGGTTCCATAAGAGATAAGAAGTAACAAGAAATCCCCAAAGAAAGCTCTTGACAGTCCAGATCGTGGTACAAGTTTTCCCCTACTATATTCCCATTTTAGCATGATTTTTTCCTCGGTCATGCTACACGCGGTCATTGATATCCGTGCTCTTAGATAGGCTCATCCCTGGGCTCGATCAGGACTTCGTTGACAGCAACGTGTGCAGGCTGACGCAGGGCATAAATAATAGCACTAGCAACCTCCTCAGGGCGGAGGACCTTGGCGCCGGTCGGTTCGCCGTACTTCTTAATAGCCTCGGCATCAGTAGACATATTAAGGAGGTCGGTAGCCGTGTTACCGGGCTGCACGGAGGTGACGCGCAGGCCAGACCCAGCAGTCTCGAGTCGTAGGCTCTGCAGCGTGGCCTCCACGAAGAATTTGCTCGCCGAGTACACGCCTAGTCCTGGGAACACCTTGCGCCCAGCATCCGACGAGATGGCGACGATGTGGCCCCCACCGCGAGACAGCATCGATGGGACCGTAGATGAGAGGCAGTGCAAAAGGCCCTTACAGTTGACGTCGACGGTGCGTTCCCATTCCTCCGTGTGCACGTTTGCCATCATCGTATAGTACATGACACCGGCGCAAGAGACAAGGATATCGACGGGACCAAGCTTTTCCGTTGCGGTCTGTATAAGCGACTCGACTTGTTTCCGGTCTGTGACATCTGTCTTCTGTACCAACACTTTGCTTCCAGAGTTAGAGAGCTTGCTCTTAAGATCCTCGAGAGCCTCGGTACGTCGAGCGGCGATGGCCACATGAGCGCCTTCTCTGGCTAAAGCAGTAGCAACGGCGGCACCAATGCCTGACGATGCTCCCGTAACAACTGCGACTCGCCCATCTAGCGGGCCTCGCTTTGAGAGTTTCGCGGCGCCATTGGTTTCGGTCCGTCGTGGAGCACGTGGCAACCAACCCCGAGCGCAGAAGTGCCGAGTATAAGTCTCGAATAATTTGTTATCAATCTTAGGACGCTGGAGGCCAGTCTTGGCGAGAGCAGGTTCTGTTGCCGGATCTTTGAGGACGGTGACCCATTTCAAGAAATCAACCGTAGGCATGCCACGGCGGAGAATGTCAACTGTAAAAATGTTGTCTCCCTTGCTAGATCCTCTCTTCTCCTCCCACATGCCAACCCATTCGTCCCATCCAAGCGGTTCCGTGGGGTATCCAAGTTCGCTAAGAATTCTAAAGACCTGCTTGGTTGGTACTGGAGATGGGTCACCTAGATGGAATATGCGCTGGTCCGTGTCCACGAGATCAGCCAGGGACGTGATCGCCTTACTAACAAAATCGACAGGAGTCATTTCAGCATACCAACCTTCGATGTCCGGGGCGTATCCTAGCTGAAGCGACTCTACGATCAGGGCGTTAAGGAGATCGTATGTATTTGATGACCCAGAGACACTATGGCCACTGATAGTTCCCGGGCGGTATATCCTCGCTGGTAAACCCCGTTTCGCCGCCTCGAGGACGAGCTGTTCTGCCACCCACTTCGTCTGGCCATATCCGTCGATTAATTTCTCGGGCACCTCGTCTACGTCCAGCATGGCGTCTTCAGACCAGCCTTCCACGGATGGCGGTAACACGCCATTAGTGGAGATATGGTGAACAGTCGCACCTCCTCGGCACGCGAGTCGTAGAATTTCTCTCGTACCAAAAACATTAGCTCCCTGCATAGCAGCATAAGGATACACAAGGTTAACCGTAGCAGCCGAGTGAATGATAACCTGTACGCGAGAAGCCAAATCTTCAAAGCCTTCGGGTGAAAGGCCGAAGCGCTTCCGAGCCAAGTTGGACGGGATAACCTCTATGCGGTCTAGGAGTGAGTCGTTCCAGAGTCCCAAATCGAGGAGGTTCTTACGAATTCGCGCTACACCGGCGGAGTAGTTGTCTTTTGAAAGATCCGCGAAACGAACGAGACATACCACCTGTGCCGAAGTCGTTTCTAAAATGGTGCTAAGCAGGAATGCTCCCAAGAATCCAGTTGTACCGGTGAGCAAGATCGTATCTGCGTCACAAATTCGCTGCATCTTAGCCCCTGAAGGCTTGATCTCAGGCGGGAGAACGGAGTCTGCGCGCAGAACGGCAGGCAGATCAGCTTGCACGGATGCAGTGTACCCATCACGCGCATCACAGACAACTTCCAAGTGTCCCTTTAGTGTCGGGTTACCAGCAAGGCGGCTCAGGGCCACGGGGAAGCCATAGGTGCCAGTAAATCTTGTAACAAGATCGACGAGCGCTAACGAATGGCCGCCCAGGTCGAAAAAGTCATGCTCCTGCTGCATTATGGATTTATAAGGGATATTAAGAGATGCAGCCCACATCTTCGCAATGTCCTCGATGGTGATTTTCTGGTTGCGATGCTGAGGTGCCAGCGACGACGCGGGGCTTCGCGACTTAGTTGGCGAGGGAAGGCGCTTGAGATCGACTTTGCCAGACACTTCGTGAGTTGGCAAGCTATCCAGTTCAACCCAAAGGGCCGGAATCATATAATGTGCGAGGTGGTCCGATAGAGCGCGCCGTGCAACCGGACTGAACCCAGCCTCGTCAATTTTGACGACTGTTCGATCTCCAGGCTCTTCGTCGTCTGGGACAATATAAGCAAGAAGCTGGCGATCTAAGCCGTCCCCATGAGCTACCACGGCACAGTTGCGGACTGCGAGATGCCTTATTATTGCATTCTCAACAGCCGGGGGCTGTACGCTATAACCCCTGATCTTAATCATCGCTCCCACACGACCAGTAATCTCAAGAAGCCCTGAAGGAAGTAACCGTGCCGTATCTCCTGTCCTGTACATTCGTGCGCCAGGTGTCTGGTCAAAGGGGTCGTCGGTGAAAGCTTTCGCTGTCGCTTCTGGTAGATTCAGATACCCCCGTGCCAGGAGTTTTCCTCCAACGAACAACTCGCCGCTAACACCCGTCTCAACCATTTTGCCGTCTTCATCAAGAATGTATGTATGCTCTGGGTCCAGGGGAGGGCCAACTGGGACGACGCGAGCTTCGTCATTAACCATATCCCTTATATCTCCACAAGCAATTTCATGGGTCTCGCTAGCACTATAACAATTCAATAGGCGTGCTTTCGGTAGCGCTTTGAGACCACGCCGCGCAAGGTCAGTAGTCACAACTTCGCCGTTGAGCCATACTGTACGCAGATCTGGAAGACGGGCTCCAAGCTGTGAGTGCCGAGCAAGGACTGTTGCAAGCAGAGTAGGTGTCATGAGAGTTTCCGTGATAGTCTTCGAGCGAAGTAATTCAACCAGAGCAACAGGGTCATAGCTAGTCTCATCAGGAACTGTTACTACAGTTGCTCCGCGCAGCAACGGACGCAGTATCTCCCAGACGAAGAATACATTGCAGGCCACACGATCACCCGGTTTGAGGTCGTTTACTTCAAATCTTAAGTCATACGATAAAACAGCTGCCCTGTGTGGGTTCGCAATCCCTTTGGGTTTTCCTGTAGTACCAGATGAGTAGGACACGAATGCGAGTTTCTCCAAATCATCTTCTGCGGGCAATGGGGGTAGCGTCTTCGACGTTCCATTCGACGGAACATCTCCATCTTCATATGAACTTTTATCGTCAAGAATTATGAGGGGAGTCTTGTAGTTGATCTTGCCAAAATGCGCCATGTGTGTTATTATCACGGTAGGCCTTGCATCTTCGATAACAGCGGCCAGGAGACTCGGAGGGTATGCGAGCTCAAGGACTAGGAATGCTCCGCCCGCACGGAGCGCAGCAAGACAGGAAACGACATAATCTGCACTCCGTCCAAGTAAGACGCCGACAAGAGAATCTCTACCAACCCCGTCGTGACGAAGACGGGTAGCGAGTGCATCGACCTTGCGGTCGAGCTCGGCGTAAGTCAACGTCGTAGGTCCATCTTCCAGGGCAACGGCATCAGGGGTAGCCTTGACCTGCTGAAGGAATAGCGCAGATAGGTCTTTGCTAGTATCGATGACAGCCATCTTCCCGCACTTATCTAACCAAGTCGAACCCTAACACCCTGAAATGGAATAAGGGATGAGGAGTCCGGCCGTGCAAAGTATACAGCACACCCTCAGAGCAGAAGCACGTGACCACTTGATTTTTGGTCAAGACGGCCGGATCAAGTATTAGTAAAAGACAAATCAAAAAGGGGGATGTATCTCAGGAGATGTGGAATGGAACTTTGTAACGCTTATCGCAGCTAGTTACCTTGAACCGGCGCCGTAAGCGGAGCTTTGCAGGGCTATCCGTGTATCGTCAGAAGTTTAATGGAAGCCGAAAGAAAGCAATAAGGTACATAGAACTTTAGCTACCTACATCATCTAGTTAGTGTATGCATAAGTACCATAGCGGAAATGGAGGGTTTTAAAGAACGGTTCTTTATTAAAAAAACGTTCCTTTAATTCTCGGCTTTTTATTGGCTAAAATTTAAGAATAATAAGGCTTAGTTTTTAAAATTTTACTACCGCCGTTCGATACATATAAAATCGTTTTATTTTAAAGAACCGTTTTTTTAAATAAAAGTTATAAAGTTTAAAATTAATTAAATTTTCGAAATAATTCGATAAAATTAATTATTTTATTTTATTAACTTAACCGTTAAAATTTTAAACCTTATTATAAAGTTAATGTAAAAGTTTTAAGTTTAAAAATTACATCTTTTAACTTTTTTAATTTTTTAACCTTTTTAATATTTTTTTAAACTTATTTTT